GGTTGTGACTAAAGCATATTTTCACTTTTCACTCTGATCTCACTCTGAGAGTGTTATCTATGTATTACTTACATACTTTTCAAAACGTCCTTCCACTAATCAAAATAAAGTCAACTGGAGTTGGGAACTGTCTATTTAGGTGCATCCAGCTACCTCCTGAACTCCTGATATTTGAACAACTGCCCTTCCTGAAGTGATTAAGATCCCCTTGATTCCATTTACTAGAGCTGTTCTTAAAGTAATGGTAAAATTCTAGCACTATTGCAAGGTTATAATTACGGCTAGGAGACCCCAAAATACCTAAAGCCTGATCTTAACCAAATATCCCTCCTTGTATGGATATTAGAGAAAATGTGCACAGACTAATATACTAGTACAGATAATTTTAGACTGCTGGGCTTGGCTGAATGGAATGCTCCTTTCTCAATGTCTAATTAGGCCTAAATAGTTTGACCAATTTAGATATTCACATCTGCTTATTTCATCCCTCCAACAATCAAATTCAAAGTTCAGATGTTATCATGAGAGAGGTTATTTGAATCCGCGCTCACTAGCCTGTAGCAGGGGAGATGAAAACAAGAGAAACCACAGGGGCACCTTCCCCCATGCTAGTGTCCAGCTGGCCCCATCTTAGTCCTTTTCTGGCTGGGACACTGGCCCTGTGACATGACCCACTGTCCTTGGATCTATGCAAGCTTTGGCATGTCCTGTTCCCAGGCAGAGGAGGGTGAACAGGAAATGGGAAAGGGCTGGCACTGGACGGGCATCTTTTAGAACAAAAACAAGGCTCTGGCCCAAGCCAACAGCACATGAATTTATACAGTGTAACCATGTCTCCATTTAAGTCTCTTCCTCCTCACAGACTGGTCCCTTACGAAGTCTCCTGACTACAATGACATTGGTCTAACCCAGTCAGATCAGCCCAGCTCAGTCAGTCAATAGCTTAAAGATGGTCAATATAAGTCTTGGCTGTTACAATCGAAGTGGGATCTTATTTGCTATAAAAAAAAAAAAAAAGTATAAAAGCAGGGACTACAAGTCACCTATAATAATGAAAACTTGGACACAACTCCTGAGCCCAACAACAGGCAAACACCTAAGCAAACTTACTTCTTTCTTTTCCTTCAAAGGCACACCTCAGAGATATTGCCAAGTTCGGCTCCAGACCACCACAATGAAGCAAATATCACGATAAAGCGAGTCATACAAATTTTTGGTTTCCCAGTACATATAAAAGTTATGTTTACACTATACTGTAGTCTATTAAGTGTGTCATAGCATGATGTCTAACACAACAATGTACATACCTTAATTTTAAAACAAAAAAATTACAAGAGTAACATCAAAGATCACAGATCACCACAACAAATGTAATAAAAGTTTGAAATATTTCAGAAATTACCAAACAACGTGCCAGAGACATGAAGTGAGCAAATGCTGTTGGAAAAATGGTGCTGACAGACTTGTTCAACACAGGGCTGCCACAAACCATCAGTATGGAAAAAATGCAGTACCTGCAAAACCCAATAAAGGAAAGTGCAATAAAACAACATGTGTCTGTAAATAAGATACATTAATAAATGTAGCTGCATTGAAAAACAGAGAATGGTATAATAAAGGGACCAACGTATAAAGGAATTCCTGAAACAAATAAAGCAGGCGGATTCCGATAACAGAAAAGCTGATCGTGCCAGACAGGAAAGATAAAGGGCTCCATGAGAAGTGGACGGGACCCCAACCAAGCCCCAGCGACCACCCAGAGGCAGAGTGGCAGGGAGTGGGACAGAGGGCAGGCTGTGAAGCAGGCAGAGGGCATGCAAAGCTCCCATGAAAGTCAGGCCCAGAGGTAACTGCTCAGAGCCCCACAAGTTCCAGCCAAAGACGTACGGATGAGAAAAAGTATATCAGAAAGACTCCAAATTACCATTATGTGCAGAAAGGATTTTGAACTCAACAGAAAAGCTATTAAAAAACAGAGTCCAGTAAGATGGCAGATAAGATAAATATTCAAAACCACCAATTAAATACAAACTATATAATCAGTCAGGGGGAAAAAAGGTATTTTTCAGAGTAGCAGTAAAAAATATAAATACAAAATATAATACAGCTGGAAATGAAAATCTTTGTAAATTAAGACCTCTCTGAAGAAAATTACAAATCTTGTTGCAGGGTGTTTTTAAAAATCTCAGCAAGTGGAGAAATGCCATACTTCTTTCTTTTTCTTTTTTTGATAGGTAAGAAGTGGATTTATGTAGAGAAACACACTCCACAGAGTGTGGGCCATCTCAGAAGGCGAGAGGCCAGAAACGCCATATTTCTAAGTAAGAAGATAATACTATAAAGATAATGATTCTCCCCAACTTAATCTGTACATTTAAACTAAAACCCCAAAAGGTTTCTTTTGGGATTCTGAAAAACTGATACTATGAATTACCTGAAAAAACACAGTCAATAATTTAAAAAAAAATAAGAATGGAAATGACCTATTAGATAATCAAAATTTACTGCAAGGTTAAAAAGAAGGCTGATATCAAAAACAGAATACCATTTCCACACTGATCAGATTAGCAAAAGTTAAAATTTGATGATGCCCAGTGGTGGCAAGGGCACAGAGTGGCACTTACATATATTCTAAGTGGGACTGAAAACTGGTAAACTTTTTTGGAGGTCAAGTCACATCATATGTTGAAACTTTTTATGTTTTTAAATTTTTTAAATTTAATTTAATTTAATTTAATTTTGTTTCTAGAAGCTGCACCACGTGGCATGTGGGATCTTAGTTCCCTGACCAGGGATCGAAGCTAAGCTCCCTGCACTGGAAGCGCAGAGTCTTAATGACTGGACCACCAGGGACGTCCCATATGTCGAAACTTTAAATGCACATAACCTTTAAGTCAGTAATTGTGCTGAGAACTTACCCATCACTATACTTGAAAAGCGTGCCAGGATACCTGTTTAAAGATGTTCATCGCGCCTTTTCTTTGTAATAAAAAAAGAAATGGAAATAACCTGAATATCCACCTGTGGGGACTTCACAAGTAAACTCCGACCCATCCACATGTAACATGGTATATTATGGAGCTGTTAAAAAGAACGGGGTAGATCTGCAGGTGCTGCTAGTGGAAGACTTTTCTAAGGTCTACCAGATGAAACAGCAAGGGCTGGAACACTGCAAACAATTCAATCTCACTGAAAACGTTTATACTGGTATATGCGTAGGAATATTTTGAAGGAATATGTGAAAAACCATTAACAGTGGTTGCTTTTGGAAAGAGACATTAGAGGTGGGAGAGGAGAGGGAGACTGCCTTTTCATTTTTTAGATCCCTTTCTGCTGTTTTGAACTTTTTATTTGCATAATGCTAAAAATTGTGGTTCCTTCCATTGTGGTACTGGCACAGGAACAAACAGATCAATGAAACAAAACTAGATTTCCACTTGGTGTGTGTGTGTGTGTGTGTGTGTGTCTGTGTGTGTGTGTGTGTCTGTGTGTGTATACACACTAGTATATATATTCTAATATATATTTGAATAAATGATAAACTGTTATTCATCTGGAAATAATAATATAGTTAGACTTTAGGTCATCAAGAAAACAGAAACTGGGACTCCCCTGGTGGCACAGTGGTTAAGAATCTGCCTTCCAATGCAGGGAACACGAGTTCGAACCCTGGTCTGGGAAGATCCCACACGCCACAGAGCAACTAAGTCCGTACACCACAACTACTGAGCCTGCACTCTAGAGCCCGCGAGCCAGAACTACTGAGCCTGCATGCCACAACTGCTGAGGCCCGTCCGCCTAGAGCCCGGGCTCTGCAATAAGAGAGGCCACTGCAATGAGAGGCCCATGCACCACAACTAGGATTAGCCCCCGCTCGCCACAACTAGACAAAGCCTGCGCACAGCAACCAAGACCCAATGCAGCCAAAAAAAATAAAGAAAGAAAAGAAAAGAAAAAAGAAAATCAGTTATGCATCCGGGAAAAAAAAAAAACTCAGGTTAAATTCCCTAATTCACACCTTACACCTACATAAATTTTAGAAAAAAATCAAAATTTCGAAGAAATAACAATGAAAGCACCTGAATTAGATAAAGAAGACCAAGGGATCAGAGAGATTACTTTCTACATTATATACTTCTGCACCGTTTAATTACCGGCAATGATTTTTATTACCCATGAAAACAAAGACTGCCCCACTGCAGGTTTGGGAGTAGGGAGATATGGTCAAGTTTTAACAGCATGGGGCATACAAATAAAATCAAATCAGATACTAAGAGCAAAGCCAGCCTGTAACTAGGCCCGAGTCTTGGTTCCACCTCCTGCTGTGGATGAGCGAGCGCTCTCTCACGGAAGCACGATGGTCCCCTGAGCACTTCACCAGGAGGCGGCCAGGCGAGGGCCGGCACAGGATGTTAAGTAGACACTACAAAACAAAGTCCCGGCCTTCTCCTCCCCGCCCCTGTTCCTGTTTTGGCGACCCCTCCGTTTTTCCACTTTTTACATTTGCTCTGGGGGTGCTTTTCGTGGCCTCATTTGAAATAACAGGCCACACCTTAGGATCTGAAAATGCCAAACTAGGAGCTGCTTCCTACCACTGTCCCCCAAGATATACTTCGTGGAACACTATTTTGGAAGATGTTAACAGAAACAGCAGGACAAAAGCACTTTTAGGCAAATAAGGCTGGGAAATGCTGTATAACTGCACAACCTCCTCTTGCGGGGGGCGGGCGGGAATCACAAAGTATATTATATTTGCTAATATTAAAGGCACTTCTGTAAAGAAAACAGTTTTATTTAATACCAAATGTCTCCCAAGTTTCATTTTTGCACAATGCACAGACACTCTGGGGACAATGTATGGTTAAAACACAACATTCCACAAAACAATGTGCTAGATTCTGCTCTCGATCATCCTAAAGGAAAAGTAATCCACATGACACCCAGTCTCTAGAGTCTCCAGGACTGGTTGGTACTCTCTCCCAATGGATGAGGAAGCTGGTCTAATTTTCTTCTTCCAGTAGATTCTCTGATTTCAGCTGGGCCTTCCTTATTCTCTCCAAGTTCAGCTGTTGGTATTTTCTTTTAAAAAAGCCACACTAAAACAAAGGGAGGGAAGCCCAATTACAGGCCTAACCTAACCATCTGCTTTAGAAAACCATCTACCTGGTTGTTGCCAAAATAGCCCCCATGCTCCTCTGCTTCCTCTGAATCTCTCCTGATAATCCAATCCTTCAAGACCCGTCTCAAGTACTGCCTTTCCACAAGGCCTTCCTGTGCTTAGTCCCCAGTCAGAAGTGATTTTCCGCCTTCCTCTGAACCCCCAGAGCACTTTAACGTTTTTAACTTAACTAATTCTGCAAAGTACTGCAGTTTCAGCTGTATTGGGTCATATATCTACGTAAAAGTACTCAGCCTACTGGGCTGAGGGTAGAAAGAGGTCAAGTACAGCCTCCTACACATCAGGAAACTCACAACCTAGTGAGAAGAGAAATAACTGGAATATAGTGTGACGACTATCCCTTGGAAGGGTTTCTAGAGGGGAGCTCAAAGGAAAAGCATAAAGCTCAGCTCAGAGGGCTCAGGAATCTCTGGGCTGAGTTTTAAGGGAAGAGTGAGAGCAAGTCAAAAAGAAGGAAAGGGCTTACGGGTGTAGAGAGCCTAACTGCAAACACAGAGACACGAACCTATTTAGTTCAGTGTGTTGAGAAAAAAGCAAGACTTAAGGGGGGAGAAAGTAGAGGCCAGAGTGGAAGGTCTTGAATAGCAGTGAAAGAGTCTGAACATCAAAACAGGGGAAGGAAAGGCAAGGACTTAAATAGGGTAACGACAATCAGGTTCGTTTTAGGAAAATATCTCTGAACTCCAATTCTTCAGTTAGATCTTTACCTTTTTCAGACAGAAACTGTCTTACTCGTTTGCCTCAACAAGCGTGTGGTTGAAGGAAGAGGGAAAGGTGGTCACGAGGCCAGGGAAGCTGCTCTAGGTCAGGGGCTGGCTGTCCTACGGAGGACTGTGCCCAACACCAGAACCTTTACGAACATGAGTGGAACCGACCTTGACTAGGATGACTATAATCACGATCAAAACCAGAAGGCCACCAACACTGCTTTTAATAATGAGAGACAGAGAATACGCCTCCTCATCTTTCAGGAAGATGACAGTGATCTGGAACAAAACAAAGAGATCATCCAATAAGTCAGGCAAGGCAAAATGAGAAAAAAATTTCACGTTATTTTAAGGAGCAAAATGTGAGAACTTGGCAACATACAGTGTATTGATCAAAACTGATGACAGGGGACTTCCCTGGTGGCGCAGTGGTTAAGAATCCCCCTGCCAATGCAGGGGACACAGGTTCAAGCCCTGGTCCAGGAAGATCCCACATGCCGTGGAGCAACTAAGCCCGTGCACCACAACTACTGAGCCCACATGCCACAACTACTGAAGCCTGCACGCCTAGGGCCCGTGCTCTGCAACAAGAGAAGCCACCGCAATGAGAAGCCCACACAATGCAACGAAGAGTAGCCCCTGCTCGCCGCAACTAGAGAAAGCCCACACGCAGCAATGAAGACCCAACACAGCCAAAAGTAAAATAAATAAATAAATAAATAAAAATACCGATGGAATTAAAAAAAAAAAGTGTACACACCAATGGTTTTTAGTATATATATTTAAAAAAAAAACAACGGATGACAGTAAAGCAAAAAGCTAAACATTTCCTGATGCAGCATCTAGAATTATCTGATGAGATTTGTGGTTTCTGCTTCCACATGTAAGGAGCTTGGAAGTCACCACTCCATGCTAACAAGTAAAAAGCCGAACAAACTGGAAAATCAACAATTTTTGGATCCCTGAGAGAGCGGAGGCCACAAGGCAAATTGCTGCCCCCAAGAGCGGAGGGAGAGACAGAGACTGACACAGAGAGCAGAGGCTCACCAGCACCAGGGAAGGAAAACCTGAACTGCAACTGATGGGCTGCTGGAAGCGCAGTGCTGACAGCCCTGGGGCTTACAAACTCCAGGAAACCCAGTCGCTGGGCTGAGGTTTTCTCCAGGAGCTTGACCAGGTTCCCACAGTAAACACTGGAGAAAAAACCCTTCATGCTTCCAGCAGGGGGAGGGGAGGAACCATTTTGAAATAAGCCAGAGAACTCTCATCTTAACAAGGCCTGTCCTCAGGGGAAACTAGTTAACTAGCCTAACCTGCTGGGTAATATCAGAGCCTAACTGTCCTGGGGGAAGGGAAGCACCCAACTCAAGCCCACTCTAGCCATCCTGTCCCACCTAATGGGGTTGAAAAAGACTGAGAAACAGGGGTGAAGTTCGCAGTCCAGAGGCACAGGCTCATTAAAAGACTGAGGCCTAATCACAGAACGACAGCACACTGCCTCTCCCCAACACCTCACCACATTCATGAAGGTCCGTCTACAGCATTTCCTTTTACCTGGTACAGCGTGTCCAGCTACCAAGAGAAAATTACCAGGCATACCAAAAAGCAAAAAAACACAACTTGAAGAGACAAGAGCAAGCATCAGAACCAGACACGGCGAGAATGTTGGAATTATCAGACCAGGAATTTAAAACAACCATGATGAATATGCTAAGGGCTCTAACGGTTAGAGCAGTCAGCACACATGAACAAAGAAAAAGAGCAGACGGGCAATGTAAGTGGACAGATGGAAATCCTAAGAAAGAAGCAAAAAGAAATGTTAGAGATGAAATCCCGCTGTAACAGGAAATGAAGAATGCCTATGATGCCGCTCATTAGTAGACTGGACATGGCTGAGGAAAGAATCTCTGAGCTACAGATAGCAACAGAATCCTCGAAAAGCAAAGAAAACAAAAACTAAAAACAAAACGAAAGAAAAAAAAAAAACCAGAGCACAGTAAAATTATCTGATGACCAAAATATTTTATACAAACTATTTTGGTCTCTTATCTAGAAGAGTTAAGTCTGCCAGGAGACTGTGACCTTCTGTTTGCGTGTGTGTGAGAGACGAGAGAGCGAGAGAGAGCGAGAGAGAGCGAGAGAGAGCGAGAGAGAGCGAGAGAGCGAGCGAGAGAGAGCGAGAGAGAGAGAGAGAGAGAGAGAGAGAGAGAGAGAGGTTCTATTAAGGAGCCTCTGACAGTTTAATAGAGGGTCCCAACAAATTAAGATCTCTAGGTTTTAAAGAACACTAAAAGACGGAAAATCAAGATTCTACGTCCAGGTATGCCCCAAGCTCACCATCTTCAAAATGATTTCTAAGTCGCTTCCAACTCTGTTCTGACAACTCTTTTTGATCTTGCCTAATGGCTGACAGGACATTTTCTGACATGAAATACATGACAAAGATAAGGGTCTGCTCTTCACCAGACTAATGTCAGTGACACAGTAATAAATGCAAAATGGCATCCACGTGTACTACTGAAAAGCCCTTCCATTAGAAGCCACCCCAGCATTGCTTTCCAGAGGCTCTCTCCATCCCAGGGCTCAAGTGGAAAACCCAGGGGACGTGCTTCCCAAGTGAGACCCAGACGTGGCCCTCCCAAGTTGTGCCCAGCACACAGACCACGGCCAGAAGGCCATCAAGACATCTCTGCCTGCCCCAAACACTGAATTCCCTTCATCCAAGTGTTCAAGCACCAGGGTCAGGGATGCTTCGGAGGGAATTTCTGTATGGGAGGGAAGGCTGGACAAATTTACCTTTGAGGCCTCTTCCAATTAAGTCATAAACACTTCCAAGGGTTGACCCTCCAGGCCCTGTTTAACTCATATAAGCTGAACTTACGTTCCGGGCCTTGGGAATAGCAAGGGAGCAACGCAACAGAGAAGGACAGGAAGAGGGCTGGTCTCCTCCTTCCTGGGGGAGTCAAGTGGGGGGCAGCGCGGAGTATGGGGAGAAGACTTGAGAACCTGGGTTTCAGAAAGGAATGAAAGGAAGTCCCGAGATGACAGTAATGTAACGTGTCAGGCCTGAGTACTCCTATTCCTCAAAGCCTCTTCCTTTTTTCCTCTTCCAAAACCACAAGTTCCTAAAGTGCCCTAAAGGTGTCCTGGTAGAGGTGAAGGGAGAAGCAGGACACAGAATACCCCTGCTCGTAGCAAACACTCTTGGCGGCCCCACCCAACAGCCATTCTCTCCTCTCCTAGTTTGTTCAGAAGTCATGAGTGGTCTAAGCTGATCATGACAAAGTCATCCCGCTTTGCCAGTGACTGACACGAGATCTAGTTCTCACTAATAAGTTACAAGGAGATTATCTGCTGGGAGTTTTTAGGAAAATTGTCCTTGAAAAGGGAAGGCTGAAATTCCCTGGCGGTGCAATGGCTAGGACGCTGTGCTTCCACTGCAGTGGGCATGGGTTCAATCCCTGGTTGGGGAACTAAGATCCCACAGGCCACACGTAGTACAGCCATAAAAGAAAGAAAGAAAGAAAGAAAGAAAAGGGAAGACAAATGAGGAAAAACTCCTTTTGCTACTGACCTCTTGGCTTCCTATTTTGTATACTGCCATGTGAAACTATATCGCTGGGAGAAGTGGAAAGTGGCAACTTTGTGGCAGCCACAAGGGAAGGCGTCCCCAGCACACGGAGGGTAGAGCACAAGATTCAAAGGAGCCAGCCCGCTGACACTGGTCTGCCTCCCTCACTGGATAAACAACAGAGGCCTTTATGGCACATTAGCACTAGTGTCTTGCAGCTGAAATGTAAATACTTTGCTTGGGGTCCTGAATTTTAAAAAAGGAAAATCACTGTGGGGACTCTATGCTACAGAAATATAAGCATCAGTAAGTAAAAGGGGGAAATTTATACATAAATTATTTAAGAATGTGCATGTAAGAAACTGTTAACAGTAATTCCCTTTGGGAAGAGGGAATCAGGGGTGTGGAAAGGGGGAAGTAAAGGAACCATTATTTTTTGTTTGGGATCTTTGTGTAAGGCTTCGATTTTCTCGCTTTTCTATTTAAAAAAAAAGTCTGAGCAATGGGATAATGGGGCACTTCTCTTTCTTCCATATCATTTTCTGTATTAGAAATACTTAAAAATAAAAGGAAATGTTTTTCCTGACATGTTTGGAGAACTGCACCTTTCCCCTCCTCCAGGGAGGAAATCAGAGAACCTAATGTTTAGCGATCCAGTCTCACCCTCTTGACATTCCCTCCGGTACTGAATCATGCCTAACTACAGAGCTCACAGATGGACAATCTCTGACACCGGCAGCACATCTAGGTGAATGTCAACAAGAATGACAACTCAGGGTGGCACACACAGTATTCGGCCCACAGATCACAAAGGTCAGTCCAACTTGCAGTCATTCTTCTGCAAAACGAATCCAAGGGTTCTAGTACTTAGTCTAAGACTTATTAAAAAAATATGCATTCCTGAGTATTGTAACTGTGCAACATTGTAACTAAACACTGATACCACACACTAAGAAGAGAGTTGTTATATACCCCCTCCCCCCAAATTTCTCACCTAAGAAATTAAAAAAAACAACATTTTCAAATCAAAGTATATACAGCTGTTGATTCCAGCCTAGTTACTTCAACTGAGACTTCCTCTGCTTAGGCCTCTTATTCAGTTGCCTCATTTCAGAGACAGAAAAACTGAGGCAGAAGCTGAGTAACTCAAGGTCACAGAGGCAGTTGCTGGCAGAGTCAAGATCAGAGGTGATAAGACTAAAACACGAAGAGGGCAACCACCAAGTGTCTGTACAGGGGCGCTGAGGCCGGGCACAGTTTTCCCAGGACATCACCCAGAAAACGAGAAGACAGCCAGGGATTACCTTAGTTCTATGGTTCTCTGCATTGAGCCCCTCATATAGAGATTTGTTGAAAGATATTTCACCAAGGATGTGCAGCTCAGTCACATCTCTTCGTAACTACAAGATGGGGAAGAAATAAAAACGAAACACATTTTAGACATGGACTTACTGTTCTTTTTTTTTTTTTTTTAGTTAACTTTTGAAAACATTTTTATTGGAGTATAGTTGATTTAAAACAGACTTACTGTTATTGGACAGCACTCATCATCTGTCCCTTTAAACGTGTTCCTTCTCCAGTATTTCCTCAGCAATCACAAAGTTACCCAAGCAGGAAACCTGCAGTTATACCTCAACTTCTTTTCCCTTATCCTTTACTTCACGCCACACCCTCACTGACCTACGCACACGCCCCAAGTCAGTTGTTGATTCCTTTTTTAGCCTCTCTTGCACCTGTGTCCCTTTTTCTCCATCCTCATTGCTACTTCTTCAGCTCAGATCCCATCATTCTCACCTGGATCATCACAAGATGTTAAATTAGACTTTAGTCCCTACTTTTTTTTTTTTTTTTTTTTTTTTTTTTTTTTATGCCATTACTTTGCACGTTGCCTATGGCTGCTTTGGTGCTGGGAGGGCAGAGCTGGGTAGCTGTGACAGAGACTATGGGGCTTTGCAAATATTTACCATCTGGCCCTTTGCAGAACAAGTGTGCTGATGCTGGCCTGAACCGAAAGCAGTCCAGGGAGATTGGGATTGACGTATATACACTAATATGTATAAAGTAGATAACTAACAAGAACCTGCTGTATAAAAATAAATAAGTAAAATTTAAAAAAAACAAAACAAAAACAGAGAAAGCAGCCCAGGATCGGGAATGTGTAGCTGGGGCTTCCAAGAGGGAGCTACGAGGCGGGCTAGGACTCACGAGGGGCCGTGTGGGATTTCTGGGGGCTAGGAGTGGGCAGATGGCACAGGCCCTGAGGTGGGTGGGCAGACAGTGATCCGACTGGGGGGCGCACAGGCTCCGGCCGCGCAGGCTCAGCGGCCATGGCTCACGGGCCCAGCCGCTCTGCGGCATGTGGGATCTTCCCGGACCGGGGCACCCCGTGTCCCCTGCATCGGCAGGCGGACTTTCAACCACTGCGCCACCAGGGAAGCTCTAGTCCCTACTTTTGAATGAGTCATCAGGTAAGGCCTAAGAGGTAACATGTGAGTTAAATATAAGAAGAAACGACATACATGAAGATCTATGAGAAAAGCAGTGTCATGCAGAAGGGACAGCAAGTACAAAGATCCTGTGGCCAGAACAACATTGGCAAACTGGAGTATAAAAAGCAGGGAAGGGCTTCCCTGGTGGCGCAGTGGTTGAGAGTCCGCCTGCCGATGCAGGGGACACGGGTTCGTGCCCTGGTCCGGGAAGATCCCACATGCCGCTCTGGCCGCTGAGCCTGTGCGTCCGGAGCCTGTGCTCCGCAACAGGAGAGGCCACAACAGTGAGAGGTCCGCGTACCGCCAAAAATAAAAAAGCAGGGAAGAGGCGAGTACTAGGAGATTAAGTTGAAGAAGCAAGCAGAGACCAGATCGCAGGATGCCTTGCACACCACTGAAAGAGACAAATTTCAATCTAAGTGTATTCGAACTTTTTTAAAAAGCAGATAAGTGACACAGTGTTTTCTTTTAAAACATAGCTGTTATGTGAAGAACCTTTGTAGAGGGCATGGTAAAAGCAGAAGCAAGAAGAGCAGAGAGAAGGATACTGCAATAAACCCAGTAAGACGGGTGGCCTGAACTACAACAGTACCAGTGGAGATGGAGAGAAGTGAATGGATTTAGAATATACTGGGAGGGGTGGGGTAGAATCACAGAGCTTGCTGCTGGAACAGATATGGGGATGTAAGAAAAGGAGTCGCAAGTAATTCCTAGAATTCCTAGTAACTAACCCGAATAAGTTACCCTAGTTAGTAACCCTGAGTAAGCGGGTAAGCAACAGGTTGGGATAGGAGGTGGCTCAAGAGGCCTGTTTTGGACATGTTATATTTGGAGATGCTATTATCCTTCTTAGGGTAACAGCAGGATAATCAAATCTCAAGTACCTGTTCTGACTGACTCAAGGAGACCTCTGCAGCCACGGTTACATTTTCTCTATCCGAGGTGACGTTACAGCTCACTGAATGCCATTCTTCCACATGCTGGAAGAAGGTGTGTGTTAGTTGGCACAACTCCTCTCCGGGTGGAAAAGCCGGGAATTTTAACACTTGGCACACAGAGCACCTCAAGGTCCCGGAATAGAGAGTGTGAGCAGTTTCTGCGCTCACTTGGCTCGAGCAAAGCCGCAACCTGGCAAACGTGACCCAGTGTAGAAGCTAAGGGGCGCCCCGGGACCGCCCCGCCTGTGCTTTCAGGGGAAACCTCGGAAAAGGAGAATCCTTGCGTCTCAGGTCACCCGCTTCAGGACCTCTCCCTCCCTGCCGCCCCGCCCCGGCCTCTCGGACGACCGCGCTCACCTGAACCGGATCGCTCCCACAAACGCGCTCCGGACTCTGGGCGCACACAGTGTGAGCCTGAAACAAGACCCATCCCCGCGACGCCTTGAGAAAGCCAAACCGCCATAGTTATCCACCCTCTCCCACTTCCCGCGAGACCCATCGTGATTTGCCGTCGCGAGGCTGGGCGCTAGGACCCGGCGGGCAGGCGAGCCGGCGGGCGGGTCTGCGGCTCTACGAGGTCTCGCGGTGTTTGCATTTGAACTGGCTGGCGGGTGTCGGCGATGGCGGCGTCACTCCGGCGACC